ATAATGGCAGTTAGTTAAGCAACAGTAAATTTAAGTGGCAGCTCAACTGAAAATATTTGACATTTTACGCAGGTAAATACACACACCCTGAGACACACACACACACACACATTGTGAAACGGATATAGTTTGGAAATCTTTAGCTTGTAGTCAAAAACATTTTCGTTTGGAGTGTGTGTGGGGGATTAAGTGTATGTATTTTGTGTGCTTATGTTGCACGTATTTGCATTCAACTTTCACCGCAAAGCCGTCAAAGGTTTTGCAAATTTCATTACGCTTCAAGCACAGCCAAACGCACTAAGAACACTTTGTGCTTAGCTTCATATATATTTGAATACATTTTCGTACATTTAAATACTTTTTGCTGGTGTATCTGTAAATAACTGTTGTCAAAAGCCAGCAAAAACAAATATCTGTGGCTGAGTAGCAAAAAATGGAGCAACAGCGGAAAGTGCCACTGCAAGACATTCATTAGGGAGACAAACGAGCATTTCTCTGGCAGCTACTAATTTAAAGCGACTGCCAGAACAGAAAAGATCAATGAGAGAAACAAATTTTAAAAAGATATATTAAAAAGTATTTCTTAAAATACATTCAACCAGCTCTGTTTTGGAAAAAGTTTTAATTGGCATTACTGTCCAAGCCTGCCTCCTCCTTGTTGTGAAAACCTTTATAAATTTTAAAAAGGATTAGTCTTTTAATAAATTTTACCACTTCAAGGCATATATCAATTGGTTGCCAGAAAACGGTCCTTTTATTTTTGCGGTTAGATTCGTTATCCATTTTATTCATTATAGCAACTTGAATGTGTATGTGTGTGTGTGTGTGTGTGTCTGTGTATTTATATGGTTTTCTCGTCTGCTGTCTTTGCTTTTATCATTTTGATCAAGTGAAAGTATTAAATGGTTCGCCTGCTCGTTTTATGTGTGCTTAATATGCACAGGAAGACACACACACACACACAAGTATATATACACACACCCTCATATACACACATACACACACACACACACACAGATGTATTTGATAAAGACCTATTGTTTAGTTAAGGCATTACATAGGCCAAGCCTAATGGAACATGGCAGAACGCAACGAGGTCCTTTTGTGGCACGTTCTGCCATTAGGCGAAATCATTTTCTTTAAATTTGACATTTAATTGAGCGCAGTAAATAAAGAAGAAGCTAACTTTGGGCAGCCGAGGACTGAATGCTCTTACCTAAAGATTTGATTTGATTTGAATTGTCTTTATATGGGTTTTGGAATATGGAATATGAAAAATACAAAATTTGGATTGTAATCTTTTAATTATCAACAATGAGTTGCAAAAACATTGATAAACTATTCCTTAACTAAGCTATAAACACTTTTATACCTGAAAAATACAATCTTGTATTAATTTATTTAATTTATTTTGGATTAAGCAATCCCAAAACAGCATTTCAGAGTCGAGTTCAAACTGTTGAGTCGCACACTTCTTTCAACAATTAAAGTATCCTTTTGAGTGCTTGTGTCGGTTGGGTGTTTTTTTGTGCCTTTTTTGCCTGCTCTTTGGACTCATTTGGCATTCCCTCAAAACCACAGTTTCAGTGTCTAACTAAGCAGAGCCCATAGAGGAAAAGAGAAACGGCTCCAAAATGTCATCGGGCATGACAGAAACGTTTTCAAAGCCAATTTGATAATGTGCTGCACCTTCCTCTCTGTCTGTATGTGTGTGTGTGTGTGTTTGTGTGTGTGTGTGTGGTGGAGTACGTTGCATGCGTTGCCGCATACTTTTGAGCATTTAAAATGACGTACACGCAGCACAGCTGCGTTCTGAGAGAACAGACAACAGAGTGAAAGAGACAGAGCAGTGTGCAAAATACAAGCATTTGTGGCACTTGCTCTGCTGATGTTGCAAGTGTCTGACTGGCTGTGGCCGACTACCACTTCCTGTCAGCGGATGCGGTTGCAGTCCACCCGGCTCACCGCCACCCGCCACCGCTTCATGCAACGCATTACTGTAATTTACATTTTAATGCGCTATTATTAGACGAAATGAATGACAAGTGATTCAATTAGGACAACTCGAACGGCAATTGATGTGCTGTGCTCTGCTGTATGTAAGTGTGTTGGTGTGTGTAGCACAAAACTGTCCCTGGTTGACAGTTGAAATGCAGCTGGACATTAAAGTGAATTGCAGGATATCATCTATTTTTTTTTTAATGATTTTCCCATTTCGTTGGCCATTTGCATTTCCTGGCAATGCCAGCCACCATTTGTGGCATTGATTCGCATGCTGCATGCCCATTGCGTTCATTTCGAGCTCACGCACTTAAGCCTCACTGATTGAACCTGACCATAGCTTCGACAGCTGCCACAAGCCAGCTGCCAGCTGCCACCTGCCACAAACTGGCTACTGCAGTCCAACAATTTAATATTAAAATTTCCATAAATATTCAGAACATTCCAGCGCACAGCTTGTGTTATTTTGTGTGTGTGTGTGTGTGTGTGTTAGTGGGCGGGTGTGTGGGAATTCTGATTGTTGCACGTTTAGCGCTGAATTTATTTTGCAATTTTGTTCGTAATGCTGACCTCACCAAAAAACACAAGGCCGGAAATTGATGGATGGCCCAAGCCTGAACTCAATTTCATATCTCGGGCAATTGAAGCTGAAAGTGTGTCCTATTAATTAACAATTCCATTAGATTCCATGGATTGGGTTTTAATTAAATTGCGCATAATTATTGTTAAGTACATGCATAAGCACACACACAGACACAAACACACGCACACACACACACACACACACACGCTGCACGCACACGCGTAATCAGCTTTTCAATGTAATTAATGAGTTTTTAGTTGAAAATAAATTTGCCTTGTAATAATGACTCGATGGAGAGGGGGGTGTCACTGGTAGGGGTGGTGGGAGGTGGTAGGTGGTTGGTGTTACTTGGCAAGCAATAACTGAAACATGTGCCTGGCATTTTCACAATTTGCATGTTTTCACACACACTCACTTGACAGCCGGCAACAGAGCTCATTAAATGCTTTACATGTGCTCGTTTCAACTCATCGCCCCTCTCACCTCACCACACTCCTCCACTCAACCACCCTACTTCCTTTGCCACTCCCCTCCACTCGTCTGCCCCACCGCTTTACATATAATTTGATGCTGTGTCTGTGCACAAAAGTCAAGAGCGGGAAACAGTTTTCCATACAAGTCTTTAATTTATGTAAATTTTGCGTGTGAATCTGTGCTTTTGCTTGTATGTATATACATATATACATATATATACAGTATATGTATACATATGTGTGTTTATGTTTGCGTTCCTCATCAATTTACCATTGACAGAATAAAATAAAGTTCAGACGCACTCGCATACAGCTTGTAAGACCCAACAATAATTTAAATACTACAGCTACAATTTTGTATAGTAGCGCAATGGAAAAGCCCCCAAGGAGACTGTCCAGCTGAAAAGAGAGTCCCATGAAATGTTTAATTTATTTAGCTGTGGGGTATATAATCTCAGACTAAATTTAATTTCGTTAAGAACTTTCGTGCCGAAGCGAAGTAACTTGTTGACTTAAAGAAAACTCACATTTGCCTAAAAAGTTCTTAAATTCTTATTAGAGATAACTGATTTTTAAAGTGCCCCAAACCTTTTTTCATTTATTTAACTACCTAAATAAATATATTTCGTTTTTATACATTTTACTAAATTATTAAGTTCAACAATTTTCTTTATATATAATTATGTAAGATTATATTAATATTTGGCATAACAAATTCTTTATTGAAATAAGTACACTGATTATTTTTTTATGTATATAATTATAAAATTGCAATAATAATTTGATTGAGTTTGTAATATAATTATGATTAATTTTCTATAGGGTTTCAATTAGAATTCGAGTTAATTTGGCCCACATTTAACATTTCTGAGAAACGCAGAAATCCTCTCGGATAAGGCCAAGTCAACTTGTGAATCGCTGTCAAGGATTAGTGTCAACTTTTGAGGCGAGGTATTAAAAAAAAAGGTGTCAGCTTCTTGATGCAAAGGGAACCAATTTCCATCAATATTTAATGTGATTCGATGTATGTCAGCGGTTGCCTTTTGTGTTTGCTTATGCCCCAGCTTATGACATGATTAATGAACTAGATAAACGATATGAGACCACAGCAAATACCAAACTATTGATGATGACAACAAAAGAGAAAGAGAGAGACACAAAACAAAAAGCTTTCCACCTTATCTTATCAAATATTTGAATGCACACCTGAACGAATCACAAAACTCATGACTAAGAGCATGAATGAGTGCGATGAGTGAGAAACGAATGTGAGCAAATGTCAGTCAACTTTTCCATTGAATAAGGGTAAAAAGTATTGGAATCATATTAAAGGGTAAACAGTGTGCAATGAAGTGGCAACATCATGAAAATGCTCTAATTCTAGAAGGGAGCAAATAAAAACCTTTAATAATGACTTCTATGATACCTAGAAACCAGTCGAAACTAATTTTAAAGCGATATTGAAACGGTTTTAAAGTTAAAGAGTTCTACAATTTAATGGCAACTGAAGTTTTTGACAATACTCATAGATAGAATCGATATAGAGCTGAAAATCAGACTTAAATATAAGAGTTCTATGATGCCAGAAACGTCAAATTTTGAGAGAATCTTTAAATATTTGTCGACTTATTATCATTTTGTGATCTGCTTTATCTAATGTACACTAATATATACACAATACTATTAGAATTATGACCAATGACCAGCTGGGCTGGACCACTTTAAAATTTAGTTTGTAAAATATTAGCAAGCAAAAAAATCGTTCAATAAACGTCTTAACTTTCTTAAGCTTGTTTCGTGTTCGTTTTCACAGTCGTGCTTTACATTATTTATTTATTTTTTCAGTCAGCCCATCTCTATACATAGCCTTTGAGCTTTTTTTCCAGTTCCAGCGATAAGATAAACCATATCTACCATATCGAGAATGCCAGTGTCGCAGCCAAGAAGCTCAATTCACAAATATTTTCAATTTGGTGCAGTGCGGTTGCCAAAAGAGCACCAAAACCAACTCCATGACGAATACACTGACGATGACTATGCATCGAAGAGCCGCTCCACGACTGAGCTTCCTGCTGGTGCTGGCACTGCTAGTTTCTGCTGCTAAGACAGAGCTGATAGATGCAAATGATGAGGACGTTGATCGCTTCTGTTATCCCGCCGCATATCGCAATACGCGTCAGTCGTGTGAGTGCAGCAATGTGAGTGCCGCACCCTGGGGCATGCGTGCCCTGCACATCGACTGCAGCTACAAGGACTTCAAGGCAGAGGATCTGACGGAACTGCTGCCACTCTACATCGATACGTTGGATCTGTCCTGGAATCAGCTGAATCGCGCCCCAAACTTTAACAGCGACAGTCTGCGTCTGCTCAATCTAATGCACAATAACATTAGCACCATCTCAGCCAGCAATTTTGGACGTTTGGTTAGTCTGCGTGAGTTGTATTTGGGCTGGAACAGCATACAGCAGCTGGATGCACAATCTTTTGCCAGTCTGCCGCATCTGCAGGTACTCAATTTGGCTCACAATAATCTGCATGCGCTGCCCGGCCAGATTTTTGGGTCACTCCTAGTGCTGACTACACTGGAGCTATCGTGGAATAGGCAGCTCAATCAGAGCATCTCCGCTGGAACGGAGCTCTACAGCAACTATGGCATTAATGCCAAATTAGATGCACTGCGTCTGGATGCGTGCAATTTGAGTGAATTGAAGTTGCGTCTCGATGTCCCACTGCGTGAACTTTCACTGCGTCGGAATCTCTTCCAGCGTGTGCCTGACCAACTGCCCGCTGCCCTGCAGCGCCTTGACATTAGCGAGAACCGGCTGGAGGAGCTGCTGCCCGTGGATTTGGCCAATAGGAGCGAGATAAGGCAGCTCTATGTGGAGGATATGCCATTGTTGCAGACTATCGCAGCCCATTCGCTGGCATCCTTGCGGCAAGTTGAGTTGATGAGCTTCCAGAACAACCGTCGGCTCACCCATCTGGATGGCGATGCCTTTATGCTGGAGAGTGGAAATCTTACTATGCCCCCGTTGCGAACTTTGAGTTTTCGTGGCTCTTTGCTGCGCAATTTCAATGTCAGTTTGTCACCGGTTTTTAAGCAACTTACCGAACTGGATCTCAATGGTGTGCCGCTTCACTGTGACTGCCAGCTAGTGTGGATGAAGGATCTGACCATCCAGACGAACGGTCGTTGCCTGCGACCAGCCAGAGTTCGTGGAATGCTCATCTCCTCGCTGCGACGCGACGAGTTCAGTTGCGAGAGATGGCCAAGATGGGCCTATGGTCTGATCATACTGGGTCTTATTGGACTCTGTGCTGCGGGAGTCTATCTAATTGTGATGGGTCTGCGGCCGCATCGAGGCGTCACCATGCGACGCAAGGTGGGTGCTGGAAGTCCATATGCACGAGTCACCATCGAACCAAATCGCCAGGAGAACTTTCACTGAGCATTCCCCTCTAGACTAGGCTATTTCTTAGGTCTTTGTTAATTTTTATATATACATATTTAACTAAATGAATATTTTGTGAATTCAAATGGACTTTCTGCGAATCGTTAGTCATGGTTGTTGTTTAATCATTGACAAGCGGGTTGCTGTAAGAGTTTTACAAATTTATACATATTTTTACATATGATCAGTAAGCATTTTAGAAATTAAATGGCAATTTCTAAAAATATTTTGCATGTTTTCTTTTACTTATCTTACTTATTTATAATCTAGTTGTCAGACTTTCAGATCTATTATATGTTTACTGATGTTTTTTCACCCATAACTTTTGGAACCACCCACTAGAAATATATTGAAAGCTAGCTTATCAGTTCTATTCGCTTATCAACGCACACTATTTGATAATGCCTTAAAATTATTTGATATTGAGTTCATAACGTAAACAATATGGCAAATGTTGAACTTTATTTTGTCTTGCATCCACTGGCAGCCCTCAATACCACATAAGTGGGATCTTATAAGCCAAATTCATAGAATTCGACAGAATCCTTAGGAGTGCAGTGGCTTTTTGGAAATATTGACTATACCCTTCCCCAGTTAATTTATTTAGTAGGTAGCAAGTCGAAGAGTTTAAAAAGCCGTAGCCAAGACAAATGCATTTATTTGTAAGTTCGAGCTCGAGTTTCTTATGAAAAACTTTACCAATAATTTACCATCGCCTTTTGTAAGGCTCAGGCTGTAATCCTTGGCTTAGTCAAGGTATCCGCACTGCCGGAGCAACAAAGTTTTCACAATCTATCGACTCCGTACAACTGCAGTGAGCCAAGTCCACCACACTTAGCCTACAATAATAAAAATTTAAGTGCAGCTATCTTGCATTTACAAGTGGCAAATGTAGCATTAAATCTGGGAGCCTCTGTGAAATAACAACGAAAATAATGCAGTCTATTAAAAGGTAATACAAAGTCTATTTCAACAGCTTTAAGCAGCTGTAACGATTGTGATTGACTTAAAGTCAAAACTTTAGTGGAATTTATAAAATTCATTCTTTTCAGAATGCAATTCGGCTAACAGGTTTCGGGCACTTTGATTTCATTTTACTCTGGTTGCACATCCTTTGTCAGAACAATGAATATTTCAATTGAATTGAATTCAAGAATCCCATTCAATAAATGGCCCTCACAACTGTAAACAAATACAATTTATTGTGTTCAGAGTTCAGTCAATTGTGCGCAAATAAAACGCAATATTAATAATAATAAAGTTTTTAATACTGATGGCCATAAATACGGCGAGCTGAGAGCAACCAAAGGACATGGAATAAACCAGTCAGTGAGGAATCCACAGCCAGCTTGAAAAGATTTACGAGCTTGTCGAGCATTGGGGAATGCGCATAAATAAATGTCGATGACAATAATGAGTGTGTCAATTATTAATGCTGAATGTCAGTTACGCAATTATTATAATCGATATGACACTTCAGCAACAAGAAATATACATGTTCAATTTATATGTATCCTGTGGGTAAGCCATAAATATCACAGACAAAATCTTAATTAATGGATTTGGATGAAACAGTTAAAATCGCAGAATTATCAACTGTATATAATTTTAATATCATTCCAACAAAAGGACTGCTTTGATCCGCAATTATAGAAAATAAATTTATAATTCAATTTTTAAATTATAAATATTAAACTAAAGTTTAAGCTTGATAAACTGTTGTTAAGAAATTGTTATAAGAAACAAATAAATTAAGATTCTATGCCCTCAAATCAGCAATTCGCAGTTCTAGTAAGACATTCTCAGATTAAAAACTTAAGAAACAACACCGATATTTAACTTTCACTATAAATTTATATAACCAACCGACTCTTCTTATGGGAGTTATATGATAAAGTAGTCAAATTTTAATAATTTGTTATTCATATGTGAGAAGCATATTGAGTACTTGTTTGCACAGAAACAGACAAACAGACTTTTGGCGGAAAAACTAATATGGCAATATAGACTCTTCAAGCGCAGCTTATTAAAAAACTATTTTACTTGTCGGGGACGTCTGCTTCCTTCTTTCTAAAAGGGTGTATCAAAATACATGGGCAAAGTTTGTAAAAATATGTTATATCATGCAATATAATACAATCATAGAACATAAAATTCTTTGCGAGTTCTCATGTGCCCCAGTTGCTCATTAGTTTCATGGTACACATATTTGAAAATGCAATTAAAACTCAAGCAGAGTTTATATATTACAGCGTACTTAAGTACGTGGGACTATATATGAAAATATTTGGGTAACTCTTTGGCAATAAAATTGATGAGTAGCTAGCTATAAGAGTAGTAAATAGTACATATTGTGAGGGAAAACAATTGGCATTTTAAATGTCAAATTTGATGCGTTTTTAAACCAGAAACAATTCAAACTGAGCGCAAAACTTCAACGACTATTTTACGACGCGGCGCTGATTCGGAGCGTGTGTGTGCGTGGAAGTGTGTGTATATTATGTGTGTGTGTGTGTGTGTGTGTGTGTGTGTGGGTGCGTGAGTGTGTAGCCCTAGCAGCCCTGGTTGTTTACTCCGAAAAGGGCACAACTTGCAATCAGACCGCACAGTGGAGAAAAACAACGACAATGACCAAAATATAAATTGACAAGTTCCTTGTTGATGAACCATCTTAATATATATAATTTTAGACAGAGTTTGACAACAGCAAATGTTTCTTAATTATTTAAATTTAAAAAAAATAATAATAAGGCGCATCTTTAATTTAATCAATAAATAAATATTTAAGCCAATTTAGTCTCAGCTTTGATATAAACAAACCTTGACTAATATTTACAAGTGATTTGCATGTTATTACAATATATATCAATGAATTTACCTTAACATATGCCCCCTCCTCCTTGAGCACCTATATAGGCAGTCTGTTTTTGTTACGCTCACGACGCGTGCGCAGAGAGGCAGTGTGCCAGTGCCCCAGTGCCACGAGTTGCATGCACCGAAAAGAGACGCGAGACTCCGAAAGGCACTTGCCACGACTGTAGTAGTATGTTGGCAGCTGGCAGCAGGCAGCAGGCAGCTAAAAGCAGCATCATTCAGATTCATAATTTGCCACACAATCAGTTGAAGGCAGCACGCCAAAGGCAGCGCACGCTTTACGCTTACGTCACGCAACACGTTCCTAACGGTATTTACTTTACGTTCCCAAGTGCTTACGTGCTATTGTTGTGCATTTGCTTAGTTGTGCGTATGTGTGGTTGTGTGTGTGTGTGTGTGTGTGTGAGTGTGTGTGTGCAAGCGCATTAGCCTAAAAGTGAGCGTGGTTAGCTTTGGGCCACTCCAATTGCGCATCCAGCCCAGTTTCAATTTTCCCGCTGCCTTAAAACCACACAGAGACAATAATAAATTAAAAAGGCTACAATAATTGCTATGCTATGATATGCAATATTTAAAGCCGCTTATTTATCAATAAATTACAATAGCCTAATGCCAATTGACAGCTCAAACAGCTCAAAAGGCTCAAGCAGAGGGAGCAGCAGCAGCAGCAGCAGCGGACGCCGCAGCGCTTCATGAATAAAATATCAAAATCATTTTAGCCAGCGCGAAAAGGCTGCAACAAAACGCGTTCAGCACTGAACGTTCTCAACAAAACTTCTCCTGGGTTTTTTTTATCATCAGCAAAACAGTGCAAAGAATATCAAGAAGATAGAAAATAAAAAACAATTCTCTTGTGCCATTCATAGTTTTGGGCGAAGCACTCAACGGTGCCCCATTGGGGACTCTCTGCAGTCCATTTCAATTTATCAGCAATTTTGCGAAATAGTAGAGACTGCTCAGATTTAGTGCACTGCTAAGATTATAAATGAACAGGGCTGGAAATTTAAATTTTACTTTAACAATTCACAGACGTAAATATAAAATTTGTAATACTGTTAAATTCTGAAATACTTTTACAATTTATATGTATACATTAATTCTGTTGAATATACTGATAATTTTAGAATTATTTCAGAATATTTGGATGCGTTAAGGCAGAGCTAAACAAGTTTTCAATTCAAATGCATATATTAAACAGAAAACCCATTTTCTGCTTGTTCTGAGAAAGTTACAGTTTCTAGAAAGACTGAACTCTTATTTCGAAACAGCGACAATAATTTTTTATAAATGTCAGCTTAATTAGTTTCAAATTTGAATGCATATATTTGTGGAAAAACTGTTCTTCTGCTTGTTCTTCTTTCATAAAAACATGAATTTTTTATACAGAGTTTATATAATTTTTAATTTTGCAAGTTAAACAAGTTTGCAATTTGAATGCATATATTTAAAATTCATTTTGTTTTAGTTTCTGCTTGTTCTATAAAAGTTGCGGTTTCTAGAAATAACATAATTGATCATCAATTGAATTGAAAATGAAATTAACAACTCAAAACAGCAAAAATGCAAAGTTTATTTTTATAATAATTGAAGAATTTTTTAAGTGCGAGCTAAATAAATTTCCATGCATCTTAATGCATATATTAAAAAAATTAAAATGACAAATAGCAATATGAATTTATCTAGACAAAGCTTAAAAATTAATTAATATATATACTTCAAAAAATAAAAAAAAATCGCTGATGAGAATCACAAGTCGAATCTTCTGAATTGTTTCGCTTTCATTTAGCATAACACATATAAATTAATTCGGTTTTATATAGGGTATTTAATATACTTAGACAGATTAATATATGGGACATCTTTATATTCTTTGTTCATTGTGTTTTGTTTTGTTGGGCGCATTTTACGTTTCTTTATTATCCCTTTTTGCATTTATTAAATATTCAACGTTTATACGTTTATTCGTGCGTCCTCTGCTCTGCTCGGCAATCTCTGCGTGCGCCTTGCTCCTCCTCCTTTCATGGCCCCCCTTTCCTTACATTGAGTCCTTGGCGACTGGCGGGCGGCTTTGATGTTGTTGCCGTCGCGGCTAACGCTGCTGCTCTCAAGCTTAGCCCCAAATGCCAAAAGCAGTGTGTGTGTGTGTGTGTGTGTGAGTGTGTGTGAGTGTGTGTGAGTGTGTGTATATTGACAACGTGGCCAGGCTGATACAATGTACACACACACATAAACATATAGCTGGCTGACTGTCTGATTATCTGTGCCAAAAAGAAAGGAAAAAAAAAAAAAACAACAGGAATATATTCAGAAAAATTGGCGCTGTGCAGCCAAAGAACAACCAAAGTCAA